CTATTTGAATGTTGGACATATTGCTAAGTTGTTATTGTTGAAAGTTGTTTGATGATTAAGTTGTGAATTATAATTTTAAGTTATATTTTGATTACTTATTGTTGATATTTATGTGTTTTCTTGTGTAAGCTTATGCTTCTTTTTCCTTGTGGTTGGAATTTTCATGACCATACTTGGTATGCGAATAGGACAACATTAGATTTGTTGCTTGGAGCTTTGTTGAGTTGCTAGAGGCGGTGTGTTTTTGTTGATTTCGCTAGAGGGATATACTTTTTTTCTTTTTTAGACTTTGACTAGCAGTCTAGCCTTACTTGTAGTCTTTGGACTTGAGTTGTATAAATTTTATATTTAGATTTTCTTTTAAGTTGTGTACCTCCGACATATTCTATTATGCATGATTAGTTTATATTTCTACATGTTTTGTCTAGATATTATATGTTTAGCTTCTAATAGTTGTCTTTTTCGTTATGTAGTGATCATGATGAGTTATTAGACTTGTAATAGCCCAAACACACCATAATGAGAGGGATACAAGTGTGAGATTGTACAATTAAAAATAACTTAAGGGAATTCATTTGTACTACCTGTAACAAACAGATGCATATACTTTTCAGTAGCTCATCACATAAGAACTCCAAAGTTAGAACTCCAAAGTTAAACGTGCTTGACTTGGAGTGATTTAGGAATGAGTGACCTTCTAAAAAGTTTCCTAGAAAGTGTGTAAGTGAGGACAAAACACACTAAAAATCTTGTGTTGGTCTGTGGAGCCGGTCGTTGATCCTAAAAATGGATGGACATCTTAGAAAGGGTTATCCACAGAGAGTTCTGACCAATGAGGAGTTGTGTGGAGTCTCATCGTGTGAAGTATCACCATGTGAAGTATCGTGAAGTGGAGCCGCTAAGACTTCAAACTTAAGGGGTGTAACAAATGGTAGGTTCTCTCTCCCAATACGATGTGGTTCGGCGATGAATCAGGTAGAAGCTGATGGGCTTGTAACAGTCCAAACACACTAGAATGAAAAAAATCTATAGATTTGTACAAGTGTGAGATTGTATAGTTGAGGATGACTTAAAGGAACTAATTTGTATTTCCTATAAAATGCATCTACTTTTTAGTAGTTCATCCATAAGAATTCTAGAGTTAAGCGTACTTGGCTTGGAGCAATTTAGGAATGAGTGACCTTCTGAGAAGTTTCCTATAAAGTGTGCGAGTGAAGACAAAAATATGTTGAAAATTCTTGTATTGATGATTTGTGGGATTAGTTATTGATCCTAAAAGTGGATGAACATCTTAGAAAGAACTATTCACAAAAGGGTTTTGACTGATGAAAAATTCTGACTAATGAGAAATTGTGTAAAGTGTCACCGTATCAAATCTAAAAAGTATTACATGATCTACTCTCTATTAAATGTAATGTAGAAACAAATTAATAAAGATTGAATAAAGTATATATTCTTAAGTTTCAACATTGTTGACTAAATGACCATAATGAAGAGAGTTCTCTCTCAATCATACCTTTTTTTTAATCTAAAAAGATGAAATCTTACTAGAAAAAAAATCCAAACTTACAATTGATTAATATTTTATAATCAAATAATTTGAATACTCCACCCAAAAAATGGGACGACTTATTCATTCAATTTATCTTTCAATATTTTTTTAATAAAGAGATGCTAAATTTTGGAATATTATTCATCTTAGATAAAATTTAAGCTATGTTGATTTTTTTTTTAAATAATTAAGCAATAACAATACAAGTATGTTAATAATATTCTACATAATAATAAATATATCGTTGAAGCCACGCTCTCAAGCAAATAAAAATATTTTAATAATTATTAAAAACTTGAAAGTTCTACAATAACTTTTTTTTCCCTTCAAAACTCCTCCAATTCCCCCAAAACATTTCTATATAAAATTATTATAAAAATAAAATAAAGTAATAACTACTACATTTTGCACATAAATTTTTTTTCCAATAATTTCTTTCAATAAATATATTATAAATATTTATTCCATCCAATAACCCCTTCTTAAATATTTAGATATATATTATTATAAAAACCATTATAAGCAAATATATATACATAAATATATCAAAATAAAATAATAAAAAAATAGATTTTTTAATAATTATTGAAATGATACAAATATATCAAATTGTTATACTAAAACAAATAAAATCATTTTAAAATCACACATCTTATTAATTATTAAATTAGTCTCATTTTAAATACATATTAAAATTTAAAATTTGGATAATATATCAGAATTAAAAAAAGTTGTGCATCGGAAGTATATTATTAAAATTTCTATTTATCTTATGTCTCGGAGTTCAATTTCATCAAATTATATCTAGCTGTGCAATAATTTTATAACACACGTGCCTCTATCTCTCTACTTATTATGTGATTTGTTTTCTCAGTTCTCACCATGCAAATAACAAATGAGTTGTTGCTTTTTCATTTGTTTGTAGAAGCTAAGGGCAAGTAGGGGTAATTTTCCACGCAATTATATTGTATAAAATGACATTTATGAACTTAACGTCTATTTTATGTATGTTCTTGGAAACAGGGGTGGACTAGTAATCAAAAATCAAATTGTGCACATTTTCTCAATTTAAAAAAATTATATATATGTATATATATAATTTTATCTTCCTTAATTTTATGTATTTGAATTTATTCTCTTGATATTTTACTCGTTGCATATACATATCTTAAATTTTTATATTTCTTATTAAGTTATCGGTCCGTGGCTACTGGTCAAGGTGTTTTTGTTCTTCTTATTAATTAATTTTTTGAATAATGTATTCTTGAATCTTGAAATTTAAAATAAAAAAGTAAAAGTAAAACAAATTAGCCATTTTAATTTTTATTTATTAATAAGTTAGATGAAACAATAGCTCAATGTGAATCTATGATAACAATTAACAAGTTGCAAACGTCTCTGCTAAGACAGAGAGTCCAAAACAAGTGTGGCAATACATTTCACTGACCATGACATTGCTGCAATTTTCTATACTCTAGTTTGAACTTTCAAACAAACTTTCCACTGTGTTTTAGCAGGGTTGAACTAGACCTTTTCACATACTAATGGTTGATTTTAATCGGAAAAAATTGACCTACTTTGGTTTTGGGAGATTTCAGATTACTAAACGTAATGAAATGGTTTTAACATATTTTGGTCCTTTACATATATTTTTTTTTGTCCGTGGATGTATCTATTATCGATTTTGCATATCGTTCTTGATGCATTTTTACTTGGTTGGATATTCTTTCATCTAATTCAATCCATCTTAAAGAATTATATGTATTGAATTCTTTTTTAATTATATATACTCAACAGGGAAGACCATTAACGTATATCACTACTAGAATTTCTCTTATTACATGCGATTTTCCTTGCAAATTTTTAAAATTTGCAGGAAATGTTGTTCTTACAAGTTTTTCTGCGAAATTTTATCTGTAGGTAATACTTTCGTGGATAATATATTTTTTAAAATTCGCAGAAAATTTTCTTACGAAATTTCTTGCGAAAAAAATTCGTAGGAAAGTTTTCCTGCAAAAAAAATTCACAAGAAAGTTTCGTGCGAATTTTTTCACAAGAAATTCTGCAGGAATATTTTTAATGAAAAAAATTAAAAAAATTACTATAAATTCTATCAATAATTCTTCAACTTTCAAATGCTCACAATGAATTCATACGAAGCATTTGTTTCCATGTCTCTAACATGTGATACATAATCTTTTAAATTCTAAGATTATAGATTATGAGTTTAATGCTCAACTATACAAATCAACTTATAAAATAAGTGTTACCCCAACTTATATACTCTTTAATTATTTTATTTTCAATCGATGTGAGACTTAAATTTTTTTTTTAAATATTAAACTTATAAATTTAAATATTTTTATTTTTATTTTTCCTACGGATTAAAATTTGTAGGAAAATCCGCAAGAAAAATTACCTGCAAAATTTTTCTACCATTTAGTAAACATTACTTGCGAATTTATTTTTGCAAGAAAATCTGCAAGAAACAAAATAAAATTCTTACAATATTTTCTGCAAATTTTTACCATGAAAAAAAATTTCTATGATCATTAAGATTTTAGCAAAATTTGTAAGAAATATCTGTAAATTATTTTTCGCAAATAAATTCGCAAAAAATTTCTGCGAATATTTTTTTGCAGGAAAATTCGTAAAAAAATTCTGGGAATATTTGTTTGCAGGAAAATGACATTTTTCTAGTAGTGTATTAAGATAAGCTGTGAAATTATATTAAGAAAGTAAATTTTAAACAATTCAATTTTATAAAATACATTATATATATATATATATATATATATAGAGGAGGAATCCATTTATTAGACTTACTTTGTTCAATAATTTATATCTGATAACACATTTTAACGATCTGTTATTTTTAAAAGTTCTTAATACATAAATTAAGTTTATAAATTTTTTTAATAATTTAAAAATTATTTAATATTACGTTTCATTAATTCAAAAATTTTGGAATTTTCAACTATAATTTTTTAATATTTTAATTTTGACCATATTAGGGATGAATGTGGGATATCAAACTATCTTAGCCATTTTAATTAGTTCCGCATTTTTTTTTTCATTTCCATTTATGTTTTTTTTTTTTTACTAAGCAGAATTGCTATAACCTAAAAATTGTACCTTTAAAAATCATATCAAGAAAGCTTTTGGCAGGAATTTTGACGTGATTATGGAAATGCTGATTCCTGTAATGCACACAAAATTCAGGATAACGGGATAAAGTTTTTGTTTTACAATTCCATGGAAGACAATTCTAAACAAGTTAAACGACACTGTCCCAGCAACATCACAAGAATTTTCCATAATTTTTTGAGCACTGATTTTGGTGTTTATTATTATCTATCCCACGGATAATGTTTCGAATGCTCATCCACGATGGTAAAACTAAAATTGTTTTGGAAAAGCATGTTACACGGGGCCAGTTATGATATTTATAATTTGCACACATAGCATAATGGTAAAGGTTGTCCAGCTGAGAGAGGCTTTACTTTGTAGTTGGTCAAACTTAACGAAGCAAGAAATGGGATGGAAAAGTCCTCTAGACTTCCACAAGAAAAACGTCTTCTTGGGATAGAAGAGAAAACATGGATGGACACAATACAACACAACACAACACAACATCGTCCAATACAAGCTCTTTCCAATTGTAATCTTGGCCCGGGTGCTAGGATCTGCTTTCTCAGGGAACTTTAGTTGTCTTTGCTGAAACGGGGTTTCTCAATCTTCATGGCTCTCTCAGGTATTTGTTGACTTTGACTCTTCCCCTGTTGCTTCTTCTAGAAATCAGAATATGCATCATGTCAAATGGGGTCTCCCCACTTCTTTTAGCTTTCTTCACATCTTGTTTACCTTGAGCTTTTGCTATAAGATACTTAGTTCAGGTAGCAAGTAAGTCCTTGCTTTTTTGTGATTCATATTGTTGCCTCACCAAAAGGGGTAGAGAGGGGATACAATTCCTTAGAGGGGGTGTTAATGGAGAAAGATAACTGAAAAAGTGGCAGTTTTTGGCACCCCAGAAGCACATGAAAAAGAAGGGGTGTCAATTGGTCAAGTCAACTTTGCCCCTTTTGGACTCAGTTCTCCAAAATTTATAATGGCATGAACATTTTTCTTTCTCATAGAATATTGCAGCCTTGTAGATTGGAGAAGATCAAGTTGTGTGTACGAATGTAGTCTAAGCAATTTTAGGTTCTTGATTCATCTCAATTTGATCCTCTTCCTTGCATTACAGCAATGAGCTTGACAAGGTGTTAGGTCCAGAATCTGTTGCTTGAGCTGATGAAAAGTAAAAATGAGAATTGAGAAACGTGACTTGTTTTTTTATCAGCTCAAGAGACTGCAGTATTTGTTCAAAGTTTAGTGTGATTTCCTTATTCTTAATATCATCACAAACCAGTGAAAACATTAAATGCACACTGATTTATGATAATAGTTTATTGAGTAAACAGTTTAGTTAGTCTTTGATAGATGTAATGTCAGTCATGTTATTTTCTGGACGATGAAAAATGAAATTAATTCGTCATCTCTGAACGATAAATATGCGTTTAATTGTTAAATTAGTAATGTGTATTCCGTTGATCAGATTAGCTTCTAAGGTTTGTGACAAAGGGACTAATTTAACTGAAAAATGCACATTCAAGAACCATAAACACTATAAGCATGTTTGAATAAATTTCCCCAAAAGAACTTAAGAGAAAAACAGAGTAATGAAACATGAAATTAGTGTTTTCATAAGTTAAAATTAACTTTTGCATTGGTTAAAATTAAGTTTTTGAAGAAACAATATGAAAGAGTTTCTATAAATTAACTTATGCTTGAGCTGATTTTAGATTATGGAGAAACTAATTTAATTTTTTTGTTCTCGTTTTCTTCTCTTGGAAGTGCTCTCGAATAAATTTACCCAAACAAGTCATTATTTGGACTAATTTGACTGTTTGCTCATAATTTACTAATAATTGGTAAATGAATCTGATAAGGTCTTTTTTTTTTTTTTTTTAATATCTTGATATCAGATTTAGGCATTTGGAATTGAATTGGAATAGGTATGCAAACATTTCCATCGGAAGTTTTTGGAAATTTCTGCTACCCTTGTGCCAACATTAGTGACTGTGTTCTTGTTCCACTGGAAGAAAAAGAGTCATATTTCCTTGCCTAAGTTGTGTTGCAAGATGATGGTTCTAGATGTGTTATCTTCTGGTCCAACAGGAACAGCCATTTCTCAAACTGTAGAGACCATTGCCGAGTTCCTAATTACTGCTAACGAAGTGCTTGTGAAGAAGGATAGTTTTAAGGAACTTGCAGCTTACATGGAAAGAATCAAGCCTATATTAGAAGAATTAAAGAAAGGAAAAGTCAGTAATTATGAGTCATTTAACCAAGCCATTGAGACCATGAATAAGGAAATTAAAGATGCAAAGCAACTGGCTCAAGAATGCAGCAAGAAGAGCAAGGTTTATCTGCTAATGAACAGCAGGTTCATTGTTAAGAGCTTAGAAAATCACACAGAACAGCTGAGTAGGGCACTTGGTCTTCTGCCTTTAGCCACAACAGGTCTTTCTTCAGGAATCCTTGAAGAAATTGAAAAGCTATGTGACAATATGCAGAGTGCTGGATTTAAAGCAGCTCTAGCTGAAGAAGAGATTTTAGAGAAAATTGATTCAGGGATCAGGGAAAACAATGTCGATCGTTCCTATGCCAATAATTTGCTATTTCTCATTGCTCAGGCTGTTGGGATTAGGAATGATAGGTCAACAATAAAGATGGAACTTGAAAAGTTCAAGAGTGAAATTGAAGATGCACGCCTTAAGAAGGACTTGGCTGAAGCTAGGCAAATGGATCAAATCATTGCTTTGTTGGAAAGGGCTGATGCAGCTTCATCACCTAGGGACAAGGAACTCAAATACTTTGCAAAACGCCAATCTTTGGGTAGTCAAATCTTGGAGCCTTTGCAGTCATTTTATTGCCCCATCACTCAGGATGTTATGGTGGATCCTGTAGAAATTTCATCAGGGCAGACATTTGAGAGAAGTGCAATAGAAAAGTGGTTTGCAGAAGGAAACAATTTGTGTCCCATGACCTTGATTCCTTTAGACACATCAATTTTGAGACCTAACAAAAAGTTGAAACAATCCATACATGAGTGGAAGGATAGAAATATAATGATCACAATTGCTACATTGAAAGAAAAAATCCAGTCTGGAAGCGATGAAGAAGTGCTGCATGACCTGCAAACTATTCAGAAATTGTGCGAAGAAAAAGAGCAATACAGGGAATGGGTGATACTGGAGAATTACATAATAACTCTCATCCAAATTCTATCAAGACACCGTGATATAAGGAAACATTCTCTTGTCATCCTCGGCATGCTGGCAAAGGATAATGAAGAAGCTAAGGTACTTAAATTCATACTCTCCTTATTGATATTTTAACAAGGTGCATACTGGATAGCAAATTTACTACATTCAATTTTTGGCTTTATAAAGAGATATATGGATTAATGAATGCCATAGTTATAGATAAAATAAAATAAATGCATTCTAGACATTTTGGTTAAAACTGATTCTAGTTTCTATAACACAACTATAACTGAATTTCCCTTTAAGCTAGATTCTAGAAACCAATCATAGACAAAAAAGAATCTGGAGAAGAAATTCGAAGTTAATGTGAATATGTGATGCAATCTATCTGACATGCAAAAGGATCGATTGGTTAGGACCTTTCTCATCCATTCCGCACCAGCATTAAACATTATAAAACACTACCAACATAACGAGCTTGTGAATCAAAAATATTTTCAACACAATTTTATCCAGAATTTTGATCATGTTGCACTCCTTAATCCTTTCTCTTCTTTTAACTAACTCCTCCTGATTTTCTTCTAAACCTATTTCATTTTATATGTCTACAAAATTGATGGTTGTATCTCCTTTTTAAGTGTTGCTTTACATCTACACACGATTTCATAATGGACATTCAGCCATGCTATTGAACTTTCTTATCTGCAGGAAAGAATTTCAACCGTTGACCATGCAATTGAATTAATTGTCCGGTCTCTTGGTCGTCGTCCAGAGGAAAGGAAGTTAGCAGTAGCATTGCTGCTCGAATTATCCAAATATGATTTGGCACGAGAACAGATTGGAAAAGTTCAAGGTTGCATACTATTATTGGTGACTATGACTAGTGGAGATGACAATCAAGCTGCTAGAGATGCAACTGAGCTATTGGAGAATCTTTCATACTCCGATCAGAATGTTATACAGATGGCAAAAGCAAATTATTTCAAGCATTTATTGCAGCGTCTCTTCACAGGTTCGTTTTTTAACCTACATAAGTTGAGTCAGTGTCACAGTATTAGTATTCCATAGCAAAATTATCTCCCCTTTTCTCTTTCTTTAAGAAGATATGCATGTAATATAAAAGATTGGAACCATATATATATATATATATATATATATATATATATGTATTTATTTTA